TTTTCACATACCATTCCAAACAATTATCATGACAATGACGGCATTGAAAGCAATGCAAATTTACACTCGGGAAACAGTCATAATCAAGAATAGGTCACGTTTGGTCCTTAGCAGACAGACGACGTAGATGTAAAACCACAATCTAGGACATGATAAAATGTCATTCGTTAGTTTAGACACAGACTCATCGTATACTAGTAGAGCAACCAATTCGTGATGGTGTCCATAAAATGTACTGAGTGCCATTTTTTTATCTTTCCTCCTAATAACTCTGTTGGAGCAGTTTCTGCGTAAGGGACACACTCCTGTATATGAAGTATGTATAGTGTGAACAAATACCGGCGTTAAATTCTGTACACCCCTGATTACAATAAGATAACTATTGTACATATTAAATGTTTATATCTTAAATCATTGTCTTAGTATAGATCAGTATAGATCTTATTAAATAAAACTTTTTTAAACGTATATTTATGCATAAAAGCAAATCAAATGAAACATGCTTGTAGTTATAAATAGCAGGTATATATAAAAATGAATATCTGGTCAATCAATTTGTATAAAAAAGGTCCCCGTAAATATGCCATACATGACACTTTTATTGTTTATTTATATGTGCTGTATATATGTTGAATACAATTTTTTCTTCAAAACTTAAATTTAAGGTAAAACTCCATATGGAGGTTCTCCTAATTAAACATGTTAAAGGAGGCTTATACTAAAAAGAAAAGTTCGCCATGCCTAGCTTTCATATCAAAATTGTAATGTATAGAACTTTTAGTACAAAACTTTACAAGAGAGGGGCGAAAGATACCAGAGGAACATTCACACTGATAGATTGGAAATAAACTGACAACGCCATGGCTAAACAAGAAAAGGACAGAGAGACAAATAATATGACATAAGAAACGACATAGAAAACTAAAGACTAAGCAACACGAACCCCACCAAAAACTGGGGGTGATCTTGTGTCATTCACTCTACTAATATATATAGCTACCTATATAAACTACCTTGTTGATCTTTATGTATTTAAACTTTTCCATAACTATATGATGTGCCACAATCTAACTGGGGTATTCTTGCCTAGGAATGGAAAGTTAAAACACTTTGTGAACAGTAAATATACATACTAAAACCGAAATGATTTTCACGTCAGCTTCTTTTGCAAATTTTCTGGTAATATTCTCGGCAACAAAATGTTCACCAGCTTTTGAATCGACCCAGTGGTTATAAAAGTCTTCATAAGTGAATTAGTTTTTTGTATCAAAAATCAGTCATCGCCTGAATATTGAATATCTATCTCATAGTTTATACGTTATTCGAGAGTTTCCTATCATGGTATACGTGATAGAGGTTGCAACTAGTAATAAATTAGTTCAGTCGAAAATATCTTCTTATTTTAAAGATCGGTCTATACCAATAATTTCTTATACCTATACCAAACCAATTGCAACTAAAATTTTCAATTACAAACACGTTTTGCAGGATCTCAACATTGACGACTTCAAGTCTAAACCTCCTGATTGCATCTGTGCTAGTTCCCAAATCACATATAATCCGGCTGGCCATGTTATTACCGGAGACCTCAACATTGTCAATAACACTTCCCTGTGAAATTTTTTATCCAAAGGTCAGAAGTATCGTGAGCCTAAACTTCAAAATACTGATGGATTCAGTCGAGGATTATGCCAGGTAATGGGCTAAACGGTCTATCCATACCCACGCTACGTCAATTTTTAAAGACCCAAATGTTGCAAAACACTTGTCCTACCTCCATGACAAATATGTTGTTGTCCCCGCAGATAAAGCCCCAAACAACATCGTTTTTGTATGTAAATATCATTACATAAACTGCTTGATAAATGAATTAGGTATTGACAATTCATTTGGAAACTCAACATATACCCTCACGACACTTACCAAAGAGGAAATCCTGGATAATCATAGGTCTGTTCTATGTTCCTTTGGAATTTCAACCAAAGATGAAGAACTGGATCTTCCATCACTGTATTGGATACCTTAACTACATAAATGTCCTTACAAACAACGGTATATTGCTGGGTTTTCCAAGTGCTCCACGAAACCTCTTTCTAAATTATTAACATCTATTTTATCAGCAATCAAAGCCGGGCTCCAAAACTGTTGTGAAACTGCCTATTCTAGAGGTGGCGTGAATCAGATGTGGATACTAAAAAATTCCAAAGATCTTTCAGAGTACATACAATCTAAGACTCTCTGATCTTGCAATAGTATTAAAACATTTGACTTTTCTACACTTTACACAAGTATTCCCCATTCTAAACTAAAACAAATTGAAAGAGTTGGTATTACTTCATTAAAAAGAATGGCGAACGTAGATACAAATATCTTGTCTTGAGGAGGGATAAATCCTACTTTGTAAAGAATCACTCTGATTCAAACCAAAAATTCTCTGAAACTGACATTATCAAGATGCTTGATTTCTTGATTGACAACATATTTGTTACGTTTGGAGGACGTGTTTTTCAACAGACTGTCGGAATTCCAATGGGAACCAATTGTGCCCCTCTTCTTGCCGACTTGTTTCTTTATTATTATGAGGCTTACTTCATACAGGAACTTCTTAGGAAGAAAGATAAGAAGTTAGCAATATCCTTTAACTTTACGTTGCGTTATATAGATGATGTTCTCTCACTAAATAATACAAAATTTGGTGACTATGTTGAACGAATCTATCCCATCGAACTAGAGATAAAGGATACTACATATACAGTTAAGTCTGCCTCATATCTCGACTTACATCTAGAAATTGACAATGAGGGTCGGTTGAAAACAAAACTTTACGACAAAAGAGATGATTTCAGCTTCCCAATTGTGAACTTTCCATTTCTATGTAGCAACATTCCAGCAGCGCCTGCATACGGAGTATATATCTCCAAATTGATACGATATTCCCGGGCTTGTATTTGCTATCATGATTTCCTTGATAGAGGATTGCTGCTCACAAGGAAGCTATTAAACCAAGAGTTCCAAATGATGAAGTTGAAATCATCCCTTCGTAAATTTTACGGACGCCATCACGAGTTGGTTTTTACCGTTATGGAATAACCGTTTCACAGATGATATCGGATATGTTCCTTATGTCGTAACTACAATACCCTTCCCTTTTCACGAATGTGACCTACCGAATTAGACTATTTACCGGATTTGTAATAACATAAGCAACACGACGGGTGCCACATGTGGAGCAGGATCTGCTTACCCTTCCAGAGCACCTGAGATCACCCCATTTTTTGGTGGGGTTCGTGTTGCTTATTCTTTAGTTTTGTATGTTGTGTCATCTGTACTATTATTTGTCTGTTTGTCTTTTTATTTTTGGCCATGGCGTTCTCAGTTTGTTTTCGATCTGTGAGTTTGACTGTCCTTCTGGTATCTTTCGTCCCTTTTCTAGTACATGGAAGCTTTTGAACCAATGGTTTTTAAATGTTAAAAATGAATTAATTCTTAGGAAATTGTCTGGACCTATCATGAATCGGTTACCGTTATGGAATATCTGAGTCACAAATAACCAGGAATATGTTCCAAAGTCGAAACAAAATCCCGTTTTTTTTTTTCGATTATGACATCCTCGAACTGGTACTGACCATGATCAACACGATGTGTACAACATGTGAAGCAGAATCTGCTAACCCTTCCAAGAGCACCTAAGATTACTCCCAGTTTTTTGTTGCTGTCTTGAGTTTTCTATAGCTATGTAGGAATATAGAATGAAACTTTATGTCTTTTTCGGTAAATATGAGGTTTAATTGAGCTTCGAAAACACAAATTTGCTTTGGCCATTGGCATCAGTGAATGTCAGTTTTTTAAAAGTCAATAAAACCACATAGAGAGTAATTTATAATATTCATAAAGAGAAATGAATGCGTATGGTCACAGTATGAAATCAATATCATAAGTTTCATTTTTGGATACTGTACTGACCAACATACAGTCACAACACTCACAATGACAACATTTAAAATGAAAAAGGATGCAACTTGATCGTAATAAGTAGTCCTTATCACTGGATACATCAAAGTTTACCCTGTATGTGGTAAAAGTAAAATAACAAAAATACTGAACTCCGAGGAAAATTCAAAATGGAAAGTCCCTAATCAAAAGGCAAAATCAAAAGCTCAAACACATCAAACAAATTGATAACAACTGTCATATTCCTTACTTAGAACAGGCATTTTCTTATGTAGAAAATGGTGGATTGAACCTGGTTTTATAGCATCAAATTCCATTATATTGACAACAATGCGTGAACAAAACAAACAGACATAATGGGTAAAAATGTCAAAATTAGGGGTACATCAGTCAGGAGTAACATTTCAATGTTTTGGAAAAGTTACATAACTGTGTCACACGTATAATATGATCAGTAGATTTTGATATTTCTTATGATAATCTTCTATGAAGTGATCTCTATATTCATAGTAATGGTTTACTTTATTGGTAAATCAGTTGCATCACAGAATAAACGTTTTAATAATTGATACCATAGGAATGATGCAACAACATTTCAGTATAACTTTAGAATGAAGAACAGAAATACAGCAAAAAAGTGTAAATCTTTTTCCTTTGTCAAGCGTGTGTAGGGATTGTGTGTCATACATTAAAACATCATATGATTTATTTTCCTTTGGTTATGTTCATATTGATCCATTCATTTCAGAAAAGAATATTTTTTTTCTAACTGAACTCTGAATGACATCATATTGTTTCATCAGGCTCATGCATCATATTTCTGAATAATGACAATTTTTATACAGCCATTTTATGAGAAGTGTCTGAATGATGGCAAACTTGTATACAGCCAATCTTGCAATATTTTAAATAATCGTAGTTTTTCATAAGGTCCATAAGTTCATGATGCCTGAATGATTATAATTTTCCATAATACCCATCTATACAATATGACCATAGTTCATAAGGACCAAGTATGCAAGAGGTGAAACTAAGAGTCATTATTTGATATGAAGAGATTCTTTATTCTATAATATGTTACTCAATAGTTATACATAAATAAATCTTAACAATACATCTATTGGCACCAGATGAATTCATCTTGGAGGGCAAGTTTTCTTTTTAAAACTCATATAAGCTATTGTATAATATTCCAGATATAAATATGGAGTGTATCGAAACATCACCTACTGCATTAAAAATTAAAACTTCATAGTTCATTGCAACATCTGTAATTTTACAAACTTTTTTTGTGTGAGTCTTCAAAAATGAATTAAATTCAAGAAGAACATCATTATTCCATAAAAATACATAACCTGTTACCTTGTAAAATCTTGTTTACAAAAAATCTAGCATATCAACTCAATTTAATGTTGGACAGAAATTAAAATTAAAAAAATTACTTAGTAATTTGTTATTGGATGAAATAAGAATTTCCTATGATTCAGCTAGGTTAGGATTTCATATTCAAATTGATATTTTCATATCTCGACTCTTGTGTAGTTGTAAAATAATTCAATCTGTATTTAACTTTAAAAAATATTATAACTGTTACATAAGTAATGTTTTAATAATAAAATCAGATTTTCTTTTACATTTTATCTTTTATATTGAGTCATTGAACATTTGACCATTCCTTTATCTTTATAAAAATCAGCCCCCCTCCCAACCAAAGAAAACTTAACTATGAATGAACTTTAAAAAAACATACTAATATGTTAAGAAGGGCAGAATAGGGAACTGTATACCTGGATAACAGTCTGATGAAAAATACATTAATGTAACTTACTTCCTTATAAACATAAATAAAATGTAAATTGAAGAATTAAAACAGAGGACAGTTCACCTCCCTACTCCAGTTAAATCTTATTTGACACATCTAATATTTTTTAAAAACAATAAGAACAACTTTGGTTGCTGAAGAAAACGAATTTAATGTCTTTTATATTAATAACTGTTGGTCCCATGATGTTAACAACTCCCTTTTATTACAGCATTTTACATTACAGTCTTTATAATTAACTTTAAGTCCCCATGGCCAAGGCCATTAAAAATATTGTTGGGATAACATTTTCCTAAAAAGATGCTTTTCAAGCAATACAATTTTCTTTTTAAATATAAGTAGAAATTGATGACACATAATACTTATAAATATTATGAAATCCATATTATAGCTATTTTGTGTATTTTTCCTTTGATATGTTTTTGTGATAATTTTTCATATCATGCTACTTGCTTGAAATAAAAAATTATTGATAGAAACCAAGGAAATTGTGCCACTGTCAACGACATCATAGACCAAATAACGATAAACATATTATCAATGGTCTTTCAAACTCGAGGAAGTTGTATGCCACATCTCATCTTAGGTTTGTCGCCTTTCGATGAGATTGTATCTGAGAAAATCCTCTGGTTTGAAAAACCATAGATAATCTATAACTATGCAATACTCATACAAATTAAATACTCTTTACAAAAAAATCTTAAATTCACTGAAGACATAATGTAATTTTTTTCTAGTACAAAATTTCCTAACTGGTGTAGTCTTTATCCTTTAATTTCTAAAATAAGTATAAAGAGTTACTTCTGATTTGATATCCACTGTAAATATGGTAAAATGTATATAAATATAAACAGAGTCCGATTAATGTGAATCATAAACAGTAGTTACAGGTTCCAGTGCACATTTCTGTGATCAACTTATCACGAATCATCATTGCTGATAGATATCAATAAAAGGATATACCAATAAAAGGATGAGTGTGATAAATCAATGAGACATCAATCAGCAGACACAAAGACATCTGAAGGTCAAAATACAGTATTCAACAATAAACAATACTGTACCATACATATCACAGATAAAACATTTTCCTGTATGAAGCTTATTTGCAGAACTTACATTTATCAGGAATTTTAGGAGAGCTGATAGTTTACAAAGATGCATTATAACATGTTGCATAGAAACAAAACCACAGTCGTTCAAGGTTCCATGTGCAGGAAAGGGATGTTTGCCATTAGTGTCAGTCACTGTTGATTCTGTTAAACCAACCTGTATGAAAACATGTCTTGTTCTAAAATCTGACCATCAGAGGCAGATAAGGGTAACTGATGAACAAATCAGGATGGGTGACATCAGTGCAAGAACCTGACCAGAAGACCCTGAATAGCATCTCAGAAACTCATCTAAGATGTAATCCCAGATCTGTGAACCAAACCAAAATATTCCACTCAAAGCCAGATCTAAATTCCTGGGCCATATCTATGACTCCAAACTAGATGTATCACTCAGAGCTAATGCTCTCACATAAATCTTAATCTTGGATATTTCTCTTTCTAAGAATTTAATTTCAAATAGAAACTAAGAAAATTATCCCTGCTAAAGATTTGTCAGTGATCACTGTCTCAATATTGTACAATAGTGTCATATAGTCTAACTATATATCATAATAATATTCTCCTATAAATTATAGCACTATAAATTGTCTAGTCTTAGAAAGTTATCTTGGAGTCTTCTTATTCTTTCCTGTGGCTTTTGGTTTATTCTTTGATGTTCCACCTGAAATATTAAATACAGTGTTATCTGAAACTTTTACACCAAGCAGAATCAAAATACTTTAAAAAACATTTAGTTTCAAAGGTACTAAAAAGTTAAATCACAAAAATACTGAACTCCGAGGAAAATTCAAATTGGAAAGTCCCCAATCAAATGACAAAATCAAAAGCACAAACACATCAAACGAATGGACAACAACTGTCATATTCCTGACTTGGTACAGGCATTTTCTTATGTAGAAAATGGTGGATTGAACCTGGTTTAATAGCGCTAAACCTCTCACTTGTATGACAGTCGCATCAAATTCCATTATATTGACAACGATGCGTGAATAAAACAAACAGACATAAAGGGTAAAAATGTCAAAATAGGGGTACAGCAGTCAACACCGTGTCACAATCTTAATCACAACAAAAACAAACAAATATTTAACAAAGAAGCACAAAGAAGCATATATCACATTTAACAACCTCCTTCATTGCTAACTTAATTTTGTATTTTATTTATGTATGCAAAATTAACCCATAAAGGATCGAGGGATTTTAAGCACTGGGACCGAATTGTAACCTTAACATTAACTCTGGCGTAGAATCGCGTGTTTGACGTAAGAATGAAAACGTCACACAGGTAGAGATATAAAATAATTTTGTCGTTCAAAAGAGGAACAGAGGAAAAATATAAGTTTTTTGAAGGTGAGTAAGTAAGAGTTATACATAATGCATATAAATAAACATGAATACCATCAAATAGTGTGATTTAAAAAAAAATAATTTAAAAAAGAGGAAAAATTTTACTTTGTTAAGCATAGGAATCAATTTACTAGTTATTCTAAAAAAGACTTAACTAAAGGAGTCTGGCACTTTGTCAATATTTTAAATAAGATTCCTGGTGAAATTATTTCAGAAAAGAGAAAAAGAAGTGATAATGAAACAGATAATTGAAATTTCACTTTTGTATGAAATCTATAAATTATGCATAGCCATAACCATTATTGTAAATGTAATTTATGTGTATCAACCTGTTTGCAGAACTTAACTGTATTAAAGGATGTGTGTTTACCTGTTTGCAGACCTTAACTGTATTAAAGGATGTGTGTTTATCTGTTTGCAGACCTTAACTCTATGAAAGGATGTGTATTTACCTGTTGGTGGATTTTTATTAAGTGAGAGGAGACGACGAGGATTCTGTTTGCAGCCATCTTTGCCCATAAGATGGTTTTTCCAGCCGTCTTCACCAGACGAGACATTCTGGTGACATAGTGGACAGTGGTTTGATGAACTTTTGGCAGCTGAAAAAAAAATGGCAGAGTTCATATCTGATGTATAATGTGGAATATTAACAGTAGGATATCAAACTACCTTCAAACTTCAATCAGAAAGTTTTGTGACAAATCCTGATGTAAGCCTTACTGGGCTTACAGTCTACTTTATTAAAAGTGTTCAAACATGTATCTATAAGTTATTGGGAAGATCCTTCTATTCTTTGGTTAATCACAGAAGACTCTGAATGACATTATTATAAAAGTCTTTCAAGTGATTAATGATGATATTTTCTTATGTTTGTGCCCTTGCATGAAGAAATATATCTTGCATCACACTGCACAGAGTGTGATACGAAAACTGCGTGAATTTGATTGGCATATCCAGCATCATGAGACGATATTTCAACATTCCATTGGCTATTCGTTAGGTCATTGATAACTTTCAAATTTGTACAATTTGTCCATGGCAAAGGACATATGTGATTTCAATTATATACAAAACACTCACACTTTTCACCTTGAAATCTTCTTTTTGTCAAATTTTATTACATTCTCAAGCGTACAAATTTTTTTAAAATGTCTGATTTTAAAGTTTGAAGCCGGAAAAGGACATATGACGTCACTCATGGCATGTGCAAGACTAGATCAACGATTCGAGGAATTTTTAATTTAACACAAAAAGAGAAATAGGTTTAACAACTCCTGAGAGTTGGATATCACTTGATATCAACTCTCGCTATTTAATCTAAATAGTAATAATATACTCGCCGAAGGCACGTGTATTATTATATTGAAATTAAATATCTCGAGTTGATATCAAGCGATATCCAATCCTCACTTGTTATGAAACCTATAAATAAAAAACAGGAATAAACTGCAGAAATGATTGGAAAACAAATCTAAAAAGTAAAGCAGAAACCAAGACAAATAGTTGGCATCCATAATAAATTCAAAACAGTTATGGAAACTACTATTGTTTGGCCTCAATTTGTTTTTCATGACTGACTTACCATAAAAACTTTATGTCCAATGCATGCAGTTCATATTAACACATTTAAGAACTTTACTACATCTGCTTTAACGAGAAAGTTATGTCATACTTGTTCAACAAAAGATCACCATGGTAACTTACCGTTACAACTTTTTTCAGACACGTGTTGATCATATTCTGACTTTGGAATGGCTTCAGTACATCGGTTACATTTTGAGTAATCATTTTTCGCCTCACACTCGTTCAGTAAATGATCGGTATAAGTTGCTATTTCTACCACTTGCTTACAGTTTGTGCAACGTTTTAACATTGGACAATGTTTCCAATAATGTAAATCAAGTCCTTCTTCTGTAAAACTTTCATTCCTTTCGCCACAGAATATACAAATACTGAAAACAATACACCAAAATATTTAAATGAAGGATTGATGGGTTGATTTTAAACATTCATGTCAACAATTTCAATTGAATATACAATAAAATGAAAGACTGTGTCTGAGGACACAAATGCCCCATCTCAAGCATGCATATAATATGTAAAAATACTTTTTGAGAGCATTTGATGTCACTGCTAGTTTTTAAAAAGTTCTATGGTTCTAGTCTTAGGAATTTTTGTGCTATGTTATTTTCAAATTTTCACTGTTTTTTTTTTATTACTTATGTAAAAAGTTATGTTGTGTCCAGTAAATTTCTGAGAAAAGAAAAAACAATTTTCCAAGTTATAAAGGGGCATAACTCTAGAAGTGTAAGTGACTCGCTGCCCAAATTATAACTCTGCAAGTTTTTGTTCTTAGCATTGTGTATGAGTTTCATAAAATTTGCATGAGGCAAGCTTAAGTTAAGAGTGCAGAAACAAAAAATTCTCAATTTCTAATTTATAACTCTAGAGTTGAGTTTCATAAAATTTGGATGAGGACTTCCTATGCTCATTTTATACTAAATGATGTTTCATTACAATCTGTGAAGGCATGAAATCTAGATGAAGCATCCTCAATCTTAAGCAGAGGTGATTTGAATATATGACTAAAAGGAAAATTACTTATTGGTATAAACCTTAGTTGCAGTATATAAACAAGATGTGTTTCGGTTTTTTATGTTGTTAGGTATATATCTCATTGCTGTATAGCCCACATGCCCTTTAACTGTAAACCAACTTATTTTCACGGATACTTTATTTAGCGTTTAGCCCTTTCTAGCCCATTTCGCGGTGATTTAATTTCGCGATTCTCAATTTACTTGATGTAGTTAAGTATGGAAAAATCCAAGTTTTACATATTGCGACGATTTATATTCGCGAAATTTATCTACTCGCGAAAATCGCAAAAATAAATCACTCACGAAAATTAGTTGGTTTACAGTATTCATAATGATATGACAAATTTTCGCTAAGAACTAATATTTTACAAAAATTCTATTCCATTATAGCTAACTTCATTACTTAAGAACGTTTCAGTAAAGACAATCACCAATTCTGATTTAATAGTTAAAATCTTTATCTAATGTACTTTGGAAAAGGTAATTTTCACGAGTCAAACATTTACTATGTTATACTCATGTGGTTCTGGTTTTTATTTAGTCTTCAAAATCAAAGAAGCATTGGCGATTCCTGAAAAATTTACTTTTTTTTAGTAATAAAAATCATTTCAGTTTTAAACCTTTGCGTTCTTAAATGTTTGTAGAAAACCAGTAAGAAACTTCATGAAGTAAATGCTATGAAACAGTCAATACAGGTTCGTTGATGCTATGAGTCTAGTGTGAATATTTTCAACAATTTAAAAATAAGACCTGAATTTTTAAGTCATCTCAAATAGACATCATCCTCCCTTTTGTCAAGGGAAATAAGTTGGACCATTTTTTCTTGACCATACCAGGAAGGGATTAGTTTAACTTACTTATCCATATTGTAAACAGAAGTGTCATCATCCCCCTCCCTTTTGTCAAGGGAGATAAGTTGGACCATTCTTTCTTGACTCTATCAGGAAGGGGTTACTTTAACTTACTTA